AGTCTAATAAAGAAAAAACTTCAATAAAAAAGTAAAGAGTTATTTTACATTTGTACTGATACCCAAAGCATTTATTTTGCAATTCCAATCGATTTTGATGCTCCTTATATGTCTATCAATGACAACTAACCTTGAAGATTACAGTATAATGAAAATCGTAGTATAGCATCATCAGAAAAAGGCAAGGTTGCATGGCAGTTTGGCACTGCTAGTGAAGCATGCTTCAGTGGTGACACGTGGACATAAGCATGCTTCAGTGGAGTACGTGACTGGAGACGGTCTCCACAAGCACTTGTAAGAGTTCCAAGTACATTCAGTCCCCTTTAAACCCCCCCAAAAAAAAGAGAACACACTCAAATTAAGCACCTGCATGCTCTTAGTTAACATGTTTTGTAATGCTTAATAGAAATGCTTAAGCTTTGATATCGAGTACCAATCCAGGGTTGGATCTTGAAGGAACTAACAGGAAGTAAAAGCAAGAAGAGAGAATAGATTATATGAGTTCATGACTTCCCTGAAGTAGACAAAAAAAAACTTCCCCAAGTATCAAGCATTAATTTCGTAATACACTGGAAATTTCATATATACATAGCAGACTAGACCTTTGAGAAATACTCCTCTTTCTTCTCCCCTCCTGCATTAATAAAAATACGGAAAGAGCACAAGCTTCATGCAGAAGGGTGGTGACTGCTTCGGGTTCTAGGTTTTTCCTTGTCTCTATACTGACATATCATCACCCTTGCATATTATTTTGAAAAAGGTCATTAAACTTTATAATAATAAAAAAAGAAGAGGACATGCTGAAGAGAGGAGAAAAAATACCTATTTTAAAGGCAAAAAATCCCAGTAAAAGGGAAAACATTTTTTTAAAAAAGAAACTTTGAATTAGTATTTAGTATTATTGATGCCCAATTCATTTTGTTAACCCCGATTGATTTTGATGCTTTGCTATATCAAAACTTAATCTGAATCCAATGGAAGTCAAACAAGATTTAAGTCCCCTCCCTCCCTCTCGAACCTTCGGAGTAATAAAAGATAACCCTCCCTCACCCTCTACCTTTCGCACATTGGCTCCAACCTACGACCATTATCTCAGTTAGGGATGTGCAGACCAAATCTTTACCAGTTTTTGGTGGCCAGGTTCAAAATGGCCAATATCCATAGCTATCCCCTTCAATACAACAGTCAGTTCCTAAGCTTCCAATACCTAGATATTTGGCATCCATTTTTTACATTCTCCAGCTTTCAACTTGTAAAATCAGAAAAGTTTAGACATCCATTTGGGAAGTACTATTATACTGGAATAGTGAAACCAATACATTCATTTTTCCTTTCAGAGAAGCTAGGTTACTCTGAAAACATATTGGTCTTCGGAGGTTTCTCTCCGATCGGATTCTGTGCAAGAGAAGTAGGATTTCTCAGTAAAGAGCTTGACAAGTTGAAGATCAACTCATCGCTCATCATCGAGCTTTTAAGAAATCTACGGCAAAGAAGACACACCAAAGAAAGGTGAGAGGAGAAACCCATTCATGGGAAAAGAAATTCCAGTAAAAGACACAAAACTCTGGTAGACCATATCATTATTTTGAAATTCCGTGTTATTATACTCATGCTTTAGTCATTATTTTGCAATTGATGCTCCTTATATGTATATCAATCACAAAAAACGTCCAAGATAGACAAAAGCAAAATCTTGCAGATCATATCATTCCATCATAAGTGTTAAGGGTACCTTGCACTACACCAAAATTTTGCAGTTGTGATGAGGGTTATATATTTACATATGTATACTCTAACAAGCCCTTTTCGTGTGCTAAATCTAGACTCAGGTAGCAGTATCTTTTCTTTAAATCCACTTTTAAATACATGGTCAGGGGATTTCGGCATGGGGTGCTCTAATGTCATGTTAAAAGGCCACTTCCACTAGACCAAAACTTCGAATAAAAAACAAATTCAATTACATAATACATGAACAAAAAAAGCAATTTCCAAATTTAAGCAACTCCATATTCTTACATAAATGCTCATCAATACGTCGTAATGCTCAATAGAAATGAAAATATAATCATGATTTCCTAAAATAGACAGAATACTTGAAGCCCATTTTATTTCTCGCGCAGTCAACAATTAGTAGCAAATATACGCAATGAGCATTTCAATCTACCATAGAATTAAATGGGTCAAGAAATTGAAGTGGGAGTTTACCCTTTAGTGACTATTCCTCGTCGTCTTCGGAGGCGGTGGCGGCGGCGGAGGAGGAGAAGGAGGAAGAGGAGATCGGGGGTCATCGAAGCAGTGATTTTGAAGGGGAGAATGAAACTAAAATATCTAGTGTTTTTCAATACTGCGTCCCTTTCAGTACAAAAGGGACTGCCACGGCACTCCCGCATCATGAATGGGGACACTAAGGGCCGTTTGGTTGAAGTTTTTGGCCTCGGGTGTTAGGCTGCCCAACACCCGAGGCCAAAAACATCAACCAAACGGGCCCTAAAATGCAATTTAGCCCTGATCTTATCTTTTTATTTATTTATTTATTCATTTATTCTAGTAACAAAGTTATCGAACTGAAGATCCAATCTTTTTTATTTACTATGTGAAATGCACGTGCAGTGCACGTGGTCAAATATTTTAGTTATTTACTTTAAGTTAATATATTTACTATAACATTGTTATAAAAAGTTATAATTATCATAATATATTAATTCTTTTTATATTTCCATGTGTAAAATCTTGTTAAATTTAACATTTTGTCTTTAAGAGAAATAATGATGTTTAAAGCCTTAAAATATTATTGATTTAAGATTAATTAGCAATTTAAATGTATGATTTCAAAGTATTAATGATGTAAGGGACCAATATGGAAAAACCTATTATTATTAATGAAGAAAATAAATTATTGAATTAATCAAAGAAAGATTGTAGGTTTTATCCAATTATTAAAGATTTTGTTTAGTTATAAAAAATCACTTCTACCTATTGTTTACTTTCACCTATTGTTTATCCAGCGACCGAGTATTATATATATTCAAGAACTTTTTTCTAGAATTTTGTAGCTTAGAATGTGCAAATACAATCAAGAATGAAAATATAAACTATGTGATCAATTCCAAAATATGATATTGTACTCTTTTTACATCTCAACAACTATTAATTAATCTATCAAAACGATTACTTTCTAGTTTCTAAAAATTATAAAATATACTTTGAGAATGATTTATACATACTATGCACTCATATTGATTGTATTTTAACAAATAATTCATATTTATCTAATGTCAAACAATATCCAAAAAATTATGTTAAGGAATTAGAAGAATACAGTTTTCGCAACAATTAATACTCATATCCGAGCTATAAGCTTCGTAAACTTATAAGAATGCAAGTAATATAAAATGATAACTCAATTTACTTTATCCAATAATTTATTATAAATCATGAAAGACGAGGGGAATCAAAATGATCACATACCCATCCCAAATAAAGATTAATAATTTATTATAAATCATGAAAGACGAGGGGAATCAAAATGATCACATACCCATCCCAAATAAAGATTAAGTTTCTCTTAGAGATTTTTATAGACGAGGGGAATCAAAATGATCACATACCCATCCCAAATAAAGATTAAGTTTCTCTTAGAGATTTTTATAGCAAAAGATTTTCAAAGTTGATGTATAGATAGAATAAATTTAAGGACAAATAACCCCAATCAATTCATTGAGTGATGGTCTTGCTATAGACTCCACTCTTATCAAATTGATGTCACATGTACCTTAACTTGTGCTTTTGGTTAAAGGTTGATTTTGAAAATTTCCCCTTAACTATGGGGTGCATGTCAACATCCCCCCCCCCCCCCCACCCCCCAAAAAAAACTATTTGAAACTGAGTAAATCTCCGTCCCCCCCCCCCCCCCCACCCCCCAAAAAAAACTATTTGAAACTGAGTAAATCTCCGTCATATTTTGGGTGTTTTGTAGGTAATCTATCTCAATGTAAAAATTTTGATTTAACCCCTATGAACTTTTTTCACTTAAACATAACCTCTCAAAACTAATATCATTAAGTGTTATCTATTATATAACAAGTACTTAACTTAG